CGCGTAAATTCATAACTCGGGGTTCTGAGATGCTAGAAAGCTGAAATTTTATGGGAATGTTCCCCGACCAAGTAGGTGTTAATGAGCTCAAATCCACCACCCTGTGAGCGTGGTATCCACGTACGGGCCCCCTTCCACCCAAATTTTTCCCGCGTGAATTCATAACTCGAGGTTCTGAGATGCTAGAGAGCTGAAATTTTAAGGTAATGTTCCTCGCCCAAGCAGGTGCTAATGAGCTCAAATCCAGCCGCTTGGTAAGCGTGGTACCCGCGTACAGGCCCCCAAAATTTTTCCCGCGTAAATTCACAACTCGGGGTTCCGAGAAGCCAGAGAGCTGGAATCTTAGGGTGGTGTTCTCTGTCTAAGTGGATATTAACGAGTTCAAACCCTGCCCGCGGGTAAGCGTGGTACCTACGTGCAGGCCCGTTAAAAGTTCCGTCCGGGTAAGTTAATTACTCGAGAACGTGAGAAGCTGGAAGACTGGAATTTTGAGGGGATGTTTCTTGACAGTTCTGGCGGCCAGTCTGAAATTCTTTCAGCTAGAAGGATCTGCCGAAAAAACAGATGCCGGTAGCGACAAAAACCTGCGGAAAACTGTACAAAAAAGGCGTCTTCGCACGGGCAGCCCGTGCGTTGGCCATTTATTAATAATGTTACTAGGATGCTCCAACATACCGAATGCAGCTATGCTAGGTTTTTTGATTGAGCTAAAGGAATTCTTTAAAACTAATTTTTTTATGATCATTTGATAAAGCGACGCTGTCAGGGTATTTAGCATCTCCTAGACATTATTTCGTCCTGTGGGCGTTGTCGTGGTGTTATTTTTATCTCTGTTCTCTTCTAATTTTATCCAGCAAAATATGAAATTGACGTCGAACCTTTGCAAAATAATTTTAATTTTGAGGAGAATTCAGCATGTGAGCTTAACTGCAGCAGTCATCTAGTGGCAGTCACTATGGGTAAAGTTGTAACGGCAGTCACTATGGGTAAAGTTGGCTACATGCAAATTTCAAAATTTGGAGTTTCTTCTAGGAAATTAAACCGGTTGAAAGTTTTTCATTAAAGGTTTATTTTTACGATTCATCGTTTTGGCAAAAAATTAAAAATATGACATATTTCTTCGAGTAAGGGACAGCGGAAGAATGGCTTATAACCTTTGCACTGTTGCTCGTCTTTATAGAGTGAAATTTTTCGTGTTTTGGTTGCGATAACGAAACTCAAAAACAAAGATCGATCCCCAGCAAAAAAAGAAGCGCAGCGAGCTCTGGATGCGGCTGTTAAATGGGGCATTATTCGACCAACCGATCGTGAAATCTACGAGCAAAATACAGGCATTTCTACAGTGCCTGAAGAGTGATTGAATCTTTCTTTTTTGTGGAATTTTGAAACTTTTTTCCTAACAAACGTTGTTATGATTTAAAAGCATGTTAAATTCCCCAAGCGCAGTCCCCACAAAATCTCAGGG